CTGCCAACCATTGACAATAAATGCTGAAAATGAACTGACCATTTCTGCCTTATGCGCCGTGACTAGGCTGCCTCCTAAGACTTCGCTGGTTTCGTTTCCTGATTCTTAATTATTAGCCGTTAGGCTCCCGCCTTTCAGGTTTATAGATCCAAACCAAAAGTGTAAAACATAAATGCGTATTAACGTCATGCAGCGAAACATATAGCGACAGGATTAACCTATATTCCACTATTGAACTTCGGGTTTCGGTTGAGTGTAACGTGAAAAAGCTACCCAACTGAGATGCTCAAAGTTAATAGTGTGCGGGCTTTTGATAATGAGCCGCCATTTTTCTTCTGCTGTCCATTCGCATGTAATTTTCTTATATATACATACATCGGTTGGATTATTGCACCATTTATAAACTGAGTTTGACCGCTCAGCAATTGGCTGTTGACAGAGCAGAACCCCAGTGGTGACAACTTCTTCAAGTGGTTGTGCAGCGATTAACAGTAAATGAATTCAGGGTATTGGCACGAAAGGCGGAACATGGACTGGCCGTTTCTGCCTTGTGTGCCGTCACCAGACTGCCTTCTAAGCCTTCGCTGGTTTCAGTTTATGCTCATTAACTAGCAACCGTTAAGCTACCGCCTCTGAGAGTTATAGATCCGGAGCAAAGGTGTACTCCAGAAACGCGTATTCCTCTCATGTAACCAAGCATATAGAAGCAGCAGGATCAATCTATAGTCCTCTGTCGAACTTTGGTATAGAGCAAATTGAAACTACTACCCAACTTAGGTGCTTAAGACTAATGGCTGACAGTTATCACTCGAAAAATTACTAGAAAAAAAAAAACTAACTTTCATCTCTGCGTGCTGTTTATTTATTCGTATACGCGCCCCCTCCCCCAAAAAACCGTTCTTATCCCGCTTGAAGAAATACTCAGCTTGTCAGCATGTAGGATAACTCAAATATAATACTGACAAGATTTAGGGGATTTATATGTCGTCCAGCAATCTATTTGCTCAATGGTTATACAAACACTGGAGGCAGCCCTGCATTTACAAAACTATTTCCCATTCACCACGAAATTCTCACTGATCGGAAAACCTCTGCACCATTACTGTCTTCGCTATCAGATGGAATGTCAGTTTGATAACTATTAAGGTATGAGTTTGAAAGCCTCGGGCGTATGTTTCGAGTTTAATTTGCCTTTTGTAGCCGGTTGGAAGCTATCCTGGGCAGGAGGCTATGCTCCACTAAGCCCACTGCCGGTGAATCCTCAGGTCATAGTGGAGATGCAATATTGCCTGGAGGGACAACAGAGATGGCTGATTACGTCCGTATCCATCAACGCGGGGGTAGAAACCACCTGATAGTTGACTGAAAGGGGCCTTCGTGGAGTGAATCTACTAGCAGCCAAACATAGAAGTAGGGTAATATTAATTATGCGACATTAATGGAAAGTCCACAATGTTACATTTAAGTAGTGGACTCTATCTAGAATAACGTACTCGATTGGCAGCCATTACAAAATACAAACTGTCATTCAAACTGTCATATAGCATCAAAATCATCTGGATTTTCAGATTTTTTGATATTTCTTTACATAAAGACTATAGAATATGGAGATTTGCCTTACCGAAGGATAATTACATTTATGTGGATATCTAGGATATATAAGGAGCTATCTTATGTTGGTATCACCTTTTATGTTTGGGGATATTACCAGTCGAATGCCGGTACGAGGCCATGAGTTAACTAAATTATATTGCTTTATTATGCTTTTAATCGGTTAAATGCAACTCTATATAATTATTTTGTCTGCCCAGCTATCTAGGAAGTTCAGTCGACATTTCATGCGTTTCGGAAATCTTTAGACACATATACCTAAAACCTTCGTTTTCGTTGGAGAGGCGTTTTCACACCTGATTTATCTTATACTTTTCAAAAGTCGGTGACTGCAGCTGGGTCAATCATTACTCATATTTACTTTGAAATAAATAAACTAAGTAAATATATTCAAATTTCCTTGTAGTTACTAGCAGGCCGACGTACCAAGTCTGACCTTATATCTACCTGGAAAATTATTAATTTCGATCAACAACGGTGGATATGATTTTTCTGTCTTTAAGTTACTTAGTCGTTTGGATTCCCTCTAGATACATCCATCAATGCAATACTAGTAATAATATCAATAATGATAACCCCCGATAATAACCTGGCTGCATGTACAGCATGGGCTAAAAATCGTACAACTTTCATGACGAAATTTGACTTGGTAGTTTAGCATATATTTGGTTAACTGAGTGGATTTAATCCTGGGAAAGCTTTTTAGTTAGGAAAATCGCCATTTTAATTAGGTTTATTAAGAGAAATGGCCAGTAATATTGGCGAACTTGGGAGTAGTCTCATCTTGAATGCATTTCCTATGCTATTACGCATGACAGAACCAAGCTTTTCACTAATGTGCATTACGCTATGGAGGAACTCCAAAATAAGTAAAAAAGAGTGTAAAACATATCCCTTGCAGAACTGTGAAATTTTGTCCGAAATCGTTGAGGTGAAAGTGAAGCCAAGTTGAAGGAATCGAATTTATTTTCAGAAACAAGGAATGATTTATGCTTTGAAAATTATACTTAGCCAACCTGTTAATTTGTTTTGCACAGAATGCAGTAAAAAGTTTTGATCGCATTTTTTTACCGCATCAACCTAGATGGCACATAATCAAGCTGTCTGTATATGCTACCGTGAAGGCAATGTACAGCAGGCCTTATTAAATGTATGTCATGCAGAAATATACTTTTTTAAGCTATAAGTTCCACTTATGCGTTATTAAGAAACGGAACAGACAGAAGAATAAAAATTACTTCAAAAAATTGCCCTTTATATGGTCATTAGTTTTGCATTCGCAAGCTTATAACAGATCCTGGAAGTAATTCACTATGGTGAAAAATAATCCCTTGTAACTCGTTCATCTCCAGCCAAATTGAATCGTTTATCCTCAGGTAAATTTAGAAATTTCTCAAAAGTCTCCAATTTCATTTTGGCATTACCTTCGGAAAAGGTAATATACACAGAAATTCGTCAGGTGCCTATCCAATTAAAACACTTTTTAAAGAGGGTACCTGTTACATATATTTTTTATTAATCTTAGGAATAGCAATATTAGAATTCTGTTGCGGACGTAATTTTCTCTCGACAATGTGGTTTGCTGTTTTCAAGTATTTCTAAATATGATCCTCATGGCCATCTTCATTAGAACTAATCTTCAAAAACGCATTTTAGGTAAACACTCTTGGCGTATATCTTATTTTAAAGGTGTTGCTGTAAACGTCGAAAAGAAGATCAAATGATGGATGAACAAATGAAGACACTGAAAATGCAGGACATTATACCAGAATTTGAAGGGCGGTATTAAATAAATATTTGTCCAGTAATGGTAATATGTACAACATTGTTGACTAAAGAAAAGTTCAGCGATGATACCCATGTAAGCATGATACTACGGAGTTAACAACCCTGCGCTTTGTTGCTTTAAAGTTTCCCATTTGTAAGCAAGACGTTTTCTACACAAAATTACCGAATGTGTGTGTGACGATTTCCCTTTCAGAAAGTTGGCTTCCGACGATTCCACTGCAAATCTGCTGAAACCGCGCCTGTCCCACCATCTGTGATATCGGTGGGGTACACTGCTGAGAACACAAACAGTACTGACGATAACGGAGTGTGACTTTTCACCTCCGAGCCTTCCTCTCTCTGTCTGCTGTTGTTTTACTCCGCTATCGCCATGCAGATCCACGTCCAGAATTGATCTGAATAAGATAGATTGATGGAGACCGTAATGAGCCGCGGAAATACAAAGATACCTGCATCAACACTCCGATGAGTCGGCTTCGGCTTGCATACTTTCAGTCAAGCTCTTATCATTGGATTACACCAGAGGTACTCCTATTCTCCATGTAAATCATTTCTTTTACCTATCTTCACCTATAAATAGAGGCTTCCTTCGCTGTATTCAGTCTACCTTTCGGTGAGGTATGACTGCAGGCGTAACCGGTAACTTTCTGATCATATAGTCTGCGCCCGCATATTCATGATATCGTCTAGCTTTCTCCTCTACAGCTGCTGGACGACTCAACGCATTCTCCTCTCTATAACCCATATGACGCGCTTGAAGCTATCTCGATGTGCTCGAAGCTCCATGGTATGTTTGTGCGGAATGGCCGGCTGGTGATCTGGCACTTAGGACGCAACCTATGTCTATTTCTCTCACTCATGTGAGCTGTGAAAGGTCAATTGCCCAGCAGACCCCTTTCTACAAGCAGTCTGAGGCTATCACGGGACGCTAAAATCGTGGCTTGGAAGGTTGCCAACTGACGGGATAACTCGCACCGCGCAGTCATCCCACTGTGTGTTTCTCTCACAGACCACCCAAACACATGTCACTCACTGTCCAATAAAAGTGAGTCGGACACAACTATGACTACTCAAATCGTGTCAGTAAGCACTCATTATATCAACCTTAAACTGAACCCCTCAGCTTAACATCAGCGCCCCATTCACAAAGTGGCCTTGTTATAAGCTATTCACCTTAAAGCTTGGTCAGACTGTCTCAGTGAGCATACCATACCTGGTGGGTATGCACGACGTATCTTTCCCCCGTTAAAATCCCCGGTCACCAAAATCACTCCTTAGACCGCACTATATCCAATGTCACACCAGCTAGAATTCGCATTCTTTGAAAAATACAGGGTTAATTCGTTGTTACTAGCAAAAAAGTCAAAT